CCAAATGGAATTAAAATTATTCTATTACAAAAGTGTCGGAATATAGATTATACGATACTAGCGTATACGCTAGTTTAGCGCATACACTAGTATGCTTATAAGGGCTCTCTCTCCTATAGCTTTTATAGATAATCGTTATCAATAAGAGTACTATAGAAATAGTCATTATTAATCCGAACAATCCCACCATAGTGAATTAATACTGATTAGTAGTATTATTATTTGATATTACAGATTGATAAGGTGATTTATGAAAAGATCTGAGCTCTCAAATTGAATAGGGTCTATATATCTATCCTTTTGTGATGGATCTCTTGAATTGAGCCCTCAGTATACTAAGAATGAATATCAGATTCAAGCTAGAGAAGTACAATTTGAAGCTGTATATCTATTCTTTTGTGACGACTTTATATTGTATCACTTTCGAAACTTACAAATTATATATAGGAAGAAGCTGTATATCTATCCTTTTGCAACAACCTATTCCACTATAATTTTCATATTTAGAAGAATTATATATCTATCCTTTTGTAACAACTTTCTATTATATATTTAGCTATTATACACTAGATATTGGACTAAGGCTTATATATCTATCCTTTTGTAACAAACCCTATCTCGAATATTATTGTTTATATTAAGCAATAACTACGATTTCACACTATAACGAAAATCAACACCTTCTAGCAAATACCTTCAGAAACTCTGCTATTTTGGCAAAGTTTTATTTATTTGTATAATACTTTATATCTTGTATATCTACAACTACGATTTCATTTTATAACGAAATCGATACTTTGATCGAACTATTCTCTTATTCATCGATTCCGTTATCTAATCGAAATCCTTATATCTATCGAATTATCCTTATCCACCGATTTCGAAATCTAGTTGAGATTATCATTTTTATTAAATTACCTCTTATCTATCGATTCTGCTATTTAATCGAGAATCTTTATATTTATCGAATTACCCCAATCTATTGATTTCGTTATTCAATCGAGATTCTCCTCCCCTAGCATGGATGTTATGATAATCACCACCTTCTTTTATAGGACCCCTCTTCCCCCCCCTCCCCCCTCCCCCCGTCCCTCCCAGCCTCGTGAGCAGCCTCGCGGAAGTGAATAAACAATAGCATTAATAACAATAATTTAAAGCTTTGTTAGATTATTCAGTATCTGCAACGCCACCTACATCGATTCATATTTCTCCGCATTCTCTATATTCTTCGCATTCTCTATATATTCAATTTATTATATCAATTTTATATTTCAGCCTTGAAACCTTATTTCGACCTATACCTACAACTATAATCTACACCTACAATTACTATTAATAATAGAATAAAGGATTATAGGATACAGAGTTTAAAAATATAGGAATAGGGTATAGGTTCTAAAGTATATAAGAATATAGACTATAATATAGGATTTTGGGAGCTAGTCAATTTTTTATATAATCTCTTTATTCTTTTAGATAATTGTCAGTATCGGAATATAGATTATATAATATTAGTGTATACACTAGTATACCTATAAGGGTTTTCTTTCTTGTAGTTTTTATAGATAATCGTTATTAATAAGAGTACTATAGGAATAGCTATTATTAATCCGAACAACCCCACCGTAGTAAACCAACAAAAAGAATAAATCTAAAAGGAAAACCTTTCAAAAAGGATCTATCAAAAAATCGAATAATATCCGGATTTTGATAATAATCAAATCAGGATCTCTTTTTTTAAAAAAAAAGATCTATATATTCTCTAATAAGTTATTACAAAAGAAATCCCTAATCTTATAATCAAAGATATTCCTATAATTTTAATAATCTATATTAAATAAATTATATAATCTATTAATAAACTTTGAAATAATAAGAAACCTTTTATTAATAAAGAGGTAATATTATTAAAAT